TAGCCATGGGCCCACGACTATTTATGGTCAAAAATTGTCCCTTTGAGTTACGATTAAGATGAAGCTTGTTTCACCTTAATCACCCAACGAATCAAGATTGGCGTCTAGCAACTACGCGTCATGATTCCCTAGATACAAATGAAGTGCCTGCAAGAACCTTTTGATATAGTTAGCGTACAGTACGATCCCTTCGATTCATATGTCCCGATTGAACTAGAGGCATTGGTTCATCGAGATCTCCTTAGTAGTTCAATGACTGTGCAATCGTTCTAAGTGTTGTAATCGTTACATGCATGACTTAGAGAATCGAATTCTCTAATCATCACTTAGTCAGCTCTGGCTAGAGACTTAGAGATTACAAACTATGAGAACACATAGGACATCCAAGACTATTCTAGCGACCGAATCCCCGACTACAATGCACAGACCTCCCACTAGATTTCGGACTGCATGAACACTGGCCCTTGGGGTGGTCCTCAGTGGAACTCAGGGACAGGTCACGATACAGCTGGTCCTCTAGTGAAGTCACGGTGATGTCTAGGTCATAAGGACTAATGGTGTACAACTATACCATAGATATCTCTACTCGATTATTGAGAACCACTTAGAGATTTCTAGGGTGAGGGTGTTCAGTGAACTCGTCAACTTACGAGCACCCACTTATGCATGCCGATATCACAATACCGTTTACTGATGAGATGCAGTACACATACACTAAGTGCTAGTCTCTTAATGGGAAAGGTCGATATGCTTATTGGTGGCGTAACCCTTCGACTAGGAACACGTTTAATAGTTATAATACTAAAGTAAATATCTCACGATCCTAACGATCAATTACTAGTACTTGTAATAACTGTAAGGACTATATCTATGCTTATGACAAAGGGACAAAGATATAGAATGCCGAGGTGTTTTATCATTAATACGAAAAAAGGTTTGTTTATTACAATTTTAAATGGAAAGACCACAGCCACAAGTTGGCTTGTTGTTCACCTACTCTAACAATCATAGCAGAACGTGTCGTGATTAGAGAAATATGTTTCTCTATCTCAAACACGATTGTATTAAATAATCAAGAACGTCCACATAGTTATTGAACTTAAAAAGAGGTTTCGGTGAACCAATGCCTCTAGTTCAATCGGGATATATGTATCGAAGTGATTGTACTGTACGTGAAATATGTCACACGGTTTTTGTAGGCACTTTATTTGTCTCTAGGGAATCATGACACATAGTTGTTATGCGCCAATCTTGATTCATTGGGCATACACTGTTGAGGGAGTGGTTAAGATGAAATGTGTTTCATCGTAATAAGAACTCTAAGAATGAGTTCGTCTAAGAACAATTTGTTGTTCGAATCAGTACTAAGTTGTGGGTCCACGGTTAGGTTACACCCGTACCATCAAGAGTCACGCTTCTCGTGTACATGAGATCCTTAAATGCAACAATTTAGTATTAATTAGTTAATATTAACTTAACATGAAGTCAATTCAATTGATACCAACATTCGTAATTGTTGATTACGGATGAGAATAAGTAGAGAAAAAGAAATCGATAGAAATTTAGTAGACTTTCTAAATTGGAAAGTTTCCCAATTCGGTAGATCCTAAATTTGGGTTTCCAATTTAAAAAAAAAATAGGAAATTGCAAAGTGGTACTCGTATCAACGAGAATTTATGCTCTTCACGGAAATCTAAATGTTTTATGTTTTCGAGCATTCGTTTGCTAGAAACGATGCGAAGAAAGTGAGGTGGGCTTAAGCTGTTGGGTTTGGTCCAACTTAAGCCCGATAGAGTTTATTTGATAGGCCCTATAAATACCCAGTTAGTGGTTCATTAAGAAACTAAGAAACCCTAGCCCCACTCTCTAACTCAATCGCCTACCTTGCAGTCGAACTCCCTCTTCCGTCGCACCGCCACGCGCCGCCGCTACCTTTATACCTCAATTTTCTTCGTTGTATTTAGCCTATCGAGTATCTAGTATTGCGTCGATTGAGGATTGAAGTATTCTAGGTGTAATATCTCAATCTTTCTAGATATTGGGAACCTCTATTCGATTATTGGGAACCACTGAATTGAAGTACTAGAACTAAATGACAACCTGAGACTAATTTTTCTAAATACATCCTTATTTCAAAATATAATATGTCTCACATACCTAATTTTTTTTTATCCCTAACTTGCTGTTATACCCTAAATATAACCTCTATTCACGTCTCTCCAACCCAGATCTGTTTCTTTTCTTTTATTTTCTCTAATTTTTACTCTCGTTCTCTCTACATGTCTCTATCGCTCTGTTGCACTTTCTCTATCTCTATCTCTCTAACTCCCAGTTATGGTGGGCGGCTATGGTGGCCGTGGGAGTGGTCATGGAGCGGTTATAGAGGCGGCGGGTAACGTGGGGGTTGTAATGGAGATAGGGAAGGGCCGGGAGACGATGAATATGGAGGTGGCGGCGGCTATGGTGACTGTTATAATTTATTTCGTGTAGATATCAATTATTTGTGTTAGATTCAGTTTTTCGTTATTGTTGCGTCAAGTGTTGCAACAATTCGTGAAACAGTTTGTAAAAACAGAAATAAACGAGACACACATTTAATGTGGTTCGGATTTTTGGGAGTATAGCATATAGCCATGTACCTGTTCAAGAGCGATCGAAGCTTGACGATCGAAGTGCCAAGTATGTTTTCATTGGGTACGACTTGGATTCCAAAGGCTATAAATTGTACAACCCAGCCAATGAAAAAATTGTCTTTAGCCGAGACGTGGAGTTTGACGAAGGAGCATCTTGGGATTGGAAAGCACAAGAAGAAGGGCCGTATGATTTCTTTCCATATTTTGGGGAAGAAGATGAGGAATTGCCGCTGCAAAATACATCTCCACCACCATCACTATTGCAGCAACAATCACCTCTCACTCACTCTCCTTCTTCTTTGGAAGAAAGCTCAAGTGAAAGGCCAGTAAGAAAATTCAAGAGTCTCAGTGATTTATATAATGAAGCGGAAGTTGTTAATGATTTGCTATGTTTCTTTGTAGATCATGAGCCCTTGACTTTCCATGAAGCCGTGAAGGATGAAAAATGGAGACAAGCCATGCAAGAAGAAATTGATGCCATTGAGAAAAATAACACTTGGGAGTTGTCTAATCTTCCCAACAACCATGAAGTTATTGGAGTCAAATGGATTTTTAAGGCGAAGAAAAATGCAAATGGAGAGGTGGAAAGATGTAAAGCAAGCTTCGTTGCAAAAGGCTACAAGCAAAAGTATGGAGTTGATTATGATGAAGTATTTGATCCAGTGGCCCGTATGGAAACCATCTGTTTGCTCATTTCTTTGGCGACTCAAATGAGGTGGAAAATTTATCAACTTGATGTGAAGTCGGCGTTCCTTAATGGCTATCTTGAGGAAGAGGTCTACGTAGAACAACCAATGGGGTTTGAGATTGTCGGGCAAGAAGATAAAATTTTGAAGCTAAAGAAGGCATTATATGGCTTGAAGCAAGCACCGAGAGCGTGGAATAGCTGTATCGATAAAAATACTTCCAAGATAACGGTTTCACTCGTTGCCTTAATGAGTATGCTCTTTATGTTAAGTCTTTTGCAAATGGTTCTGTTTTGCTCGTTTGTCTTTATGTTGATGACTTGATTTTTACGAGCAACGATTTGAGCTTATTTGACGAATTAAAAAAGGCTATGTATTTTGAATTTGAGATGACATATATTGGTCTTATGTCGTATTACATGGGCTTGGAAGTAAAACACATGAATGAAGGAATTTTTGTCTCTTCTCAAGAAAGGTACGCAAATGAGGTGTTAAAGAAATTTCATATGCTTGGTTGTAATCCTATAAACACCCCGATGGAATGCGGAATGAAGTTGTCAAAATTTGACGACGGAGAGAAAAAAGATCCTACTCTTTTCAAAAATCTCGTGGGAAGCTTGAGATATCTAACAAACACAAGGCCTGACATTCTCTTTGCGGTTAGAGTCGTAAGTAGATATATGGAATCTCCTACCTTAACGAACATGAAAGTTGCCAAAAGGATCCTTCGCAACTTGAAAGGTACTATCGGATTTGGAGTATTCTATTCTTCCTGTAGTGATTTCAAGCTTCAAGGTTTTTGTGATAGTGATTATGCCGGAGATATTGATGATCGAAAGAGCACCACTGGATATGTGTTCTTTATGGGAGAGTCGGCTATTTTTTGGAGTTCGAAAAAACAACCCATTATTACTCTCTCAACTTGTGAGGCCGAGTATGTGGCAGCAACATCTTGTGCATATCACGCAAGCAATTTGGCTTAGGAGGCTGCTTGAAGAACTTCATTTGCCACACAAGGAAGCTACAGAAATTTTCGTCGATAATGAGTCGGCAATTGCACTTGCCAAAACCCCGGTGTTCCATGATCGAAGCAAGCATATTGATACGAGGTATCATTTTATTAGAGTGTACATTGCCAAACATGATCGAAGCAAGCATATTGATACAAGGTATCATTTTATTAGAGTGTACATTGCCGAGAAGAAAGTGAAGCTCAGCCTTGTGAAGACTAAAGATCAAATTGCGGATATTTTTACGAAGTCTAAAGTTTGAGGATTTCAGAAGATTGAGAGAAAGTCCTGGGGTCAAGAAGAAGTTTTCAAATTAAGGGGGAGTGTTGATTAATAATTTGAAATAAATTAGTACATTAATCTAGCTAGTGTGGTAATTCATGTATTTTATTAGTTCATGTATTTTGTTAATTTAATATCATGTATGGTGTTGAAGAGTCAAGGAGAGATTCATGTAGCTAGATAATCAAGGGTCATTATTAGTGTGTATAAATACCCCTTGCATGTGGAATGAAAGAACTGTGAGTTTGCATTTTCTCTTCTAAATAGTTTCGTTTCTTCCCATTTTATTTTTCTTCTTCCAACAAATTAAACTAAGTTGAGCGTCGAAGAAGTTTCGCCGAACCCAAGCGCCCACCCTAGTGCCCTAACGATTATCTGTGATACAGATGACGAAGCCAAAAGAAGAGTTTGGAAACTTAGTAGCCCATTGACCCAAAAAAGAAGTCTCACCAAACCCATTCAAGAAGATAAAATGCGTTAACTAGACCAAAGCCCAACTAGACCACATCAAATACAAAAGTAAAAAATGTCATTTTCGAATCAGATTGCGTGAAGGCTATCCGTTTTGTGAAAAATAAATCTACAGTGACTGATTGGTATTTGGTGGGATCGAAGTGCTTATTGAGAAGATTGATATATTTTGGTTCATTTGACCGGTTTTATTCACACAAACCTTGTTCCGGTTTGTTGTGTACTTTTGTGACGTCGTCACCCTGTTGTAAAGCTATTGAATTGTTTACTATTGATGCATTCCCAATTTCCCATTTCCTTATACAAAAAAAAAAAAAAGAAAAAAGAAAAAAGAAAAAGAAAAAGAAAATAGTACTGAGTAATGTATATATGTAGCATGGGCCTTCTCACGGACCTTGAATCTTTGATGAGGTGAAGTGAGAATGCAGAGAGAGAGAGGAGAGAGAAATAAGAAATCACATATTTCTTTTATTATGATGACCAGAAAAATGTCCTCTTCTACTTGAAATAGTTGTACTAGCATGGGAGACTGTGCTTGCTGACATATATTAATGTCCCTTAAATAGTTTTTATTTCTTTCTTTCTTCATTAAACTAAATTAACATTTCTTTATTTATTATTTCTGATTTCTCTCTCACACACACACACACACACGTACACACACCTCTCTTCCTGACAGCCTCAGCCCCTGCTCACACACAGTTCACACACTGCACAACACTCCATCTCATCTCCGAGATATATACATCTCTCTCTCTCTCTCACACACACACACACACGCATATAAAGTGCTCAAATCAGTAGAGATCCATATGATCTCATCTTTCACAGATTTAGACAAACACACACAGTCCTAACACCATCCGTCCCTTCAAAAACTCCAACTCTTAAACAACATCTTCTCTCTCTCTCTTTCTCTCTCTAGTCTCTCACACGCACAAAAACACACACACACACACACAGCTCCCAATACCATCCCACGGAGCACGAAGCAGCCTCCATTATTCAGTCTTCCCTCAACCAACCGACATTGCTCCACTCTCCCCCAAACGCACACACGAATTCATGTGCTTAATCTTGATTATTTGGGGTGGTGGTGGCTACTGCTCACAATTATTTTTGAATTAATAAAAAAAGAAAAAAAGAAAAAAATGGGGTGTCTGGTATCTCAACTGGCAGCAAAATTTGCATTCTTTCCACCAAAGCCGGCCACATACCAGATAAAGAAGAGGGATGATGGGAAGCTAGTGGCAGCATCGACGACGTCGTCTCACTCACAGCCAATAGCAATAGAAGATTCATGTATGGATGTATTGTCTATCCAAACCAAAAGGGGAAACAATATTGTAGCTTTCTACTTGAGGAACCCATACGCTAGGCTTACGGTGCTCTACTCCCATGGAAATGCAGCTGATCTGGGCCAGCTCTATGACCTCTTTCTTCAGCTCAAACAAAATCTCAGAGTTAATCTCATCGGGTCTCTCTCTCTCTCTCTCTCTCTCTCTCTCCTTCCCCCAATTTTCTTTCTAGTTTTCTTGCTTTGTATTTTAATTAAGACAAGTACGTACAACCCTTTATGGGGTTGGTACAAACACATCAGCCATCTTTATGGGTTTGTTACAACACAACGTTCGCCTTTTTAGTTTACTTTTAACTCTCTATTAAACTTGTTCAATCAAGGGTTTCCAACAACTCCATTTTTCTTTTTCTTTCATTTTTGTACCTCGTGGGCTCAGATCTGAAATATATTTATTGATTGATTATTATGTGAAATAGTAGTGTGATAATTAATTTTATTTTGTGAATGTAGTTCATTCATTGACTGTGTGTGTGTGAGGGGTTTTATGGATAGAGAACGAACTCATTTTCACTTTGATTGTAAAATAAATTGGTTTTTAATGCTTGTTGGTTATGTTCTTGTGTGAAAGTGATAGCAATAGGATTAGTGATGATGAGTGATGTCTCACTTAATGGATGGAGTGCTAAAAGGATTTTAATGGTGGTGCCTTTGATCGTGACATCTTTGTCATTTTGCTTTCTTTGTATGGTTTGTGCTTTTCGGCATTACACATTATTCATTATTACACATTATTATTGTTATCTTTTTCTTTTTTTTGAATAATTCCTCAGTGTCCCATTTGCTTCCTTGACCAAGTCTTAATGCATTCTGATGTAGATGTTATTGCAATGTATAGAATCAAGAATGTCTTGTGTTTTGTTGTGTAGGTATGACTATTCTGGTTATGGAGCTTCTACGGGTAAGGTAAAATTCAATACACTCAGTGTTGTTGTATTGATTGATGCTAATAACATTAGGAGGTATAAAGAAATTTTTGGGTGAATATGAGATGTGTTTTGTCGATTATGATGTGATACAGGCAAGTGAATATGACACGTATGCGGACATAGAGGCAGTATACGAGTGTCTTCAGACAGAGTATGGAGTAAGCCAAGAAGACTTAATATTGTACGGACAATCAGTTGGAAGTGGGCCCACATTGCATTTAGCAGCTCAATTGCCGAGGTTGAGAGGTGTCGTTCTTCACAGTGCTATTCTATCTGGACTTCGTGTGCTCTGTCATGTCAAATTCACTCTCTGTTGTGATATTTACAAGGCAAGTGTTTTTGCTACACACACCTAAGAACATATTCTAGTTTACTTACTTGCAAATATTGACTTTTATCTTTTTTATTTATTTGCAGAATGTAAACAAAATCCGAAAGGTGAAGTCTCCCGTGCTCGTTATACATGTAAGTGATTCATTCTCGAGTATCTAGAATATTTTATCATTGGTGTAAGTGATATTGAACAGTTTGTTTACCGCCTAGTTGAAATCAATGTCATAAAGTTATGTGTTACAGGAATAGTGTGGTGGATCAAAATTAGGGAAAGTTGGTATGTAGAGAACAAAATTGAGTTTGATGTTAGATAAAAATACACAAATGTTTACCCGCAAAAAAACCCCGAAGCACATTGAATACAAATATACCAGGCCGGCTACCTAGAGATTGTCTACTAGACAACATTAAAAGACTGTTTTAGTACATTGAAATTTGAATAACCTCACATGTATAAGATACATACAAATGCACCCTTTTTTTTTTTTTACTGAATTTGGCATTGGAAATAGACAACACAAACACCAAATTGGATCATTAATGCAAGATTAATATAAACCCAACCTGTGTTTTTGTGTTCATAGTAAAGGCATTTTTTAGGCTGCCGAGACATATAGTTTGCTGTAGTATTAAATTTTTTATATGAATTTAATCCTTTACAAATGACTTCAGTTAACAAATGTTTCCCCTGTGCAAATTGATCCCTTTCCCTTAGTCGGAAAATCGTAAAGTTATCCTTCTATAACATTGTACTGTGAGGAGAAAACTCTTATTTAGGGAACATTTTTGCTTTTCTGATCAATTCATCATTCAAATATTACTAGTTGCTACTACTTGGTTGAATTAAGGTTTCCAATCAAGGCAAATCGATGCTCTTGAATTATACTTTTATACTTTCCAGATAGGATGAAAAATCCGATTGATTGGGTGAATTAAAATATGAGATGGTAAACAAAAAAGACTTTTCGAGAAATCATCAAATAGTTAGCTTTTTAAGAACCAAGTAGTGGAAATTTGTTGACCAAAGGATGCAACAATGCACTTGATCTTTAAGTAAAATGGAATATTGAGTTAAAAAATCATAAGAAGGTGGGGATTGATGATCTAAAATGAAAGTTTAATACGTTGTTGTTATTAATGAAATTGATGTTATACTGAACAATTAATAATATAAAACAGGGGACAGAGGATGATGTGGTAAATTGGTTGCATGGGAACGGATTATGGGAAATGGCAAGAGAAGCATACGACCCATTGTGGATCAAAGGAGGTGGACACTGCAATTTGGAGCTATATCCGGATTATATTCGACATCTTTGCAGATTTATTCAAGAAATGGAGAACATCACTACTCAAACTCGACTCAATAAGATCCGCAACACTCTCTCTCTACTCAAAAGGTCAAACTCCGATAACAACACATGCTGCTGTACAACAACACCTAAATGCCCTCAATGTTTCAAACTCAAAAGCTGCAGCAGCTGCTGCTGCTGCTTGCCCAAATGTCCAAAATGCCCTCTCTGGAAGCTGCCAAAGTGTTTCAAACCCAACTGTTTGTGTCAGTGCATGAAATGCTCGTGTAGGTGCTCTATTTGCTCGTGTTTGTGTGCTGCTAAATGTTCGTGCTTGTGATAATATTTAATAATTTTATTGTGGACGGGTGAATGGTGATTGGGTATACACAGAAACACACTTTAGACGATGTAAGAGCGAGAGTGAGAAGGTAGATTTTTGTACAGATTGCACAACTTGTTAACTGTTAACGCAGCCCTCTTCCTACCTACTGGTGTTGCACTGCACTAGACGTTTTAGGAATTCAAATCCTGTACAATGCTTTTTTTTCCTTCTTGCTTTTCTAGCCATTATTATCTATTGTAACTCTTTTTCTTGCATTATATTTAGTGAAAAAGGTCTGTTTTATTTGTTTTTCTTTGCAATTTTCATTTCTTGCTTATTTTTCTTCTCCTGCCCGGCACTTTTCTTTTTCTCCAGAGAAAAACATGTGCATCGTATAGGATATGAAAAGACGCATTTATACGAATGTCCATTTATATAATTCTCATTCACTCTGTACGGTCTACATTCGATAAATTTCAGTGGGTCGATCATTTTCCACATTTAATTTTCAAACAAGCACAAATATATACATACAGATATGAGTAAAATGTATATACATCTATACACGTATATGGTTAGATATAATTCAGTGAAGTTCATTGAGAGTACAATGTTGGTCCTTTACAATCATCATTGACTTGTCAAGTTTGCAAAAAAGTTAAACGGCGACTAGCTAACTGGAATGTGAAGGACTTGTCTCTCGGTGGACGTATTGTGTTAACAAAATCAATGTTTTCTTCCCTACCTATTTACTATTTATTCATGTTCAAATTACCAAAGAAAGTGAATCAAGAGCTATACAAAGTTCAAAGAATTTTTTCGTAAGGAGGATCAGAAGTGGATAGTAAAATAGCTCTTGGTAATCGGACACGTGTACGCAGCGGAAAACAAAAATTTTATGCGATTTAAACAAATTTAAAACACATAAACACATACCCGATAATTTAAAACAATTAATTGCGTACCTTTGCGCTTCCAGCGAAATTAAAAACAACATACATGCTTAATTACTTAATCGAAATTAAATCAATTAGCATGCTCGTGTTTAAATCAAATAACATGCTCGCAGTAAAACATGAATATCATGTAAACATACATCATACAAATTCATGAAACGTACTACTAAAACGAACATGCGTAAGTTTAATATAATTAAATCATAATCAAACGAATACCAGATTCGAGAATACCTCTTGAAGAGGTAGGCGCACGAAACGAAGCAAGATTGCCACGGAAACCAATCCGTGCAATCCGGGAGCGGCGACGATGAAGTAGCGGCGGCGATGGTGCAAGCTACGGCGGCGTGTGATGATCACGCGCTGTCTTCGGGCGGCGCGTGGGAGCGCGTGCGTCGTCGGCTCGGGGGCTGCTCCTCGATTCTTCGATCTTCCTCCTCTCGAATTTCACCTCGTATACATCGATTTCCTAAAACGTGGCACTAGACACGCAATAGTTAGAATAAACGGAAAGAATAAAAGGAAAAAGATCTACCACGATTGACCGGCCAAGGGGAGGCCGATTCCGGGGAACGAGCGGCTACCAAACGGCGGTGTTGGCCGCGGGGAAGGAGAACGGCCGAGAGAGAGAGTGGAGCGGCTAGGGTTTAGTTCGTGTGTTATCTGTGTGCAAGACCTATAAATCAAGTACTTATAGTGTCTTGCATAAAACCCTAACGGGTTTAAGTTGGATCGGGCCCAACAACTTAAGTTCGTTAGTTCTTTTACTCGCTCGTCTCTCTCAATTAGATGATCGGTAAATCGAAACAATTACATTTTCGGAATCATTATAATGTCCTCGTCATTACGAGTGCCAATTCTCAATTTCTAACTTTCCAAAAGTGGAAAGCCTAATTCAGTGCACTTTCTAAATTTGGAAACTTCCAATTTAGAAAGTCCACTAAGATGTTCGCCTGTTCTTTTAATTTTCTTATTCTCATTCATAATTCCAAATTATGAATATTGGACCCAATCATATTGACTTCCAATCATGCAAAGATAAACCATTTTTACCTTTGACCGTTCATTCAAAGATCTCATGTGCACAAGCAGTGTGACCCTCGATGGTTCAGGTGTAAGCTAGCCGTGGGCCCACAACCCTTTGTGGTCAAAACTCGTCCCTTAGAGTTACGATTAAGATGAAGCTCGTTTCACCTTAATCACCCAACGAATCAAGATTGACGTCTAGCAACTACGTGTCATGATTCCCTAGATACAAATGAAGTGCCTGCAAGAACCTTTTGATATAGTTAGCGTACAGTACGATCCCTTCGATTCATATGTCTCGATTGAACTAGAGGCATTGGTTCATCGAGACCTGTTTATCTGTTTAATGACGGTGCAATCGTTCTAAGTGTTGTAATCGTCACGTGCATGACTTAAAGAATCGAATTCTATAATCATCACTTAGTCAGCTCTGGCCAGAGACTTAGAGAGATTACAAACTCTAGAAACACACAGGACATCCAAGACTATTCTAGCGATCGAATCCCCGACTACAATGCATAGACGTCCCGCTAGATTTCGGACTGCACGAACACTGGCCCTTGGGGCGGTCCTCGGTGGAACTCAGGGACAGGTCACGATACAGCTGGTCCTCTAGTGAAGTCACGGTGATGTCTAGGTCATAAGGACTAATGGTGTAACACTATACCATATATATCTCTACTCGATTATTGGGAACCACTTAGAGATTTATAGGGTGAGGGATTTTAGTGAACTCGTCAACTTACGAGCACCCACTTATGCATGCCGATATCACAATGCCGTTTACTGATGAGATGCAGCACACACTAAGTGCTAGTCTCTTAATGGGAAAGACCGATATCCTCATCGGTGGCGTAACCCTTCAACTAGGAACACGTTTAACAGTTATAATACTTAAGTAAATATCTCACGATCCTAACAATCAATTACTAGTACTTGTAATAACTGTAAGGACTATATCTATGCTTGTGACAAAGGGACAAAGATATAGAATGCCAATGTGTTTTATGATTAATACGAAAAAAGGTTCGTTTATTACCATAATAAATACGAAAGACCACAACCACATGTTGTCTTGTTGGTACCTACTCTAACAATCTCCCACTTGACCTAAAGCCAACTACCCATGAATCGCAATCCCATCGACTCTCGATGTTTCTCATGGACCGATCTCGGTAAAGGCTTCGTGAAGGGGTCTGCAACGTTCTCTTCCGAGGTTACTCGTTCTACTTTAACTTCACCTCTATCAATGATCTCTCGGATCACATGATACTTCCTCATAATATGCTTCAACTTCTGATGAGATCTCGGCTCCTTAGCTTGCGCCACGGCTCCGGTGTTATCACAGTACAACGGTACTGCATCACTAGCATTAGGAATGACACCCAACTCTTGGATGAACTTCCTTATCCAAGTCCCTTCTTTTGCAGCTTCAGACGCTGCAATGTATTCCGCTTCGGTAGTGGAATCGGCCATCGTGCTTCGCTTGGAACTCTTCCAACACACGGCACTACCATTAAGCGTGAATATAAATCCCAAGTTCGACTTTGAGTCGTCCACATCCTATTGAAAACTAGAGTCGGTAAAGCCCTCTAATTTCAACTCGACACCCCCAATAAACCAAAAATATATCCTTAGTCCTTCGTAAGTACTTGAGGATATCTTTCACAGCCTTCCAGTGAGCCGGGCCGGGGTTAGACTGATATCGGCTTGTGACACTCACAGCATACGCAATATCGGGTCTCGTACATAGTATGCCATACATGATGCTTCCTATTGCAGAAGCATAAGGTGTCCTTTTCATCTCCTCGATTTCACTAGGTGTTAGTGGACACATAGATTTCGAGAGACGAACCCCATGGGACATTGGCAAGAATCCCTTCTTGGATTCTTCCATGCTAAACCGTTTCATAACGGTGTCTATGTACAGGCTTTGGAATAGGCCAAGCATCTTTCTCGCTCTATCTCTATAGATGCGTATTCCTAATACATAAGATGCTTCTCCCAAATCCTTCATTGAGAAACGTGTGGACAACCATGCTTTCGTTTGTTGCAACATTTCCTACGTCATTCCCAATGAGTAGAATGTCATCAACGTAAAGCACTAAAAATATCACTGTCCTCCCACTAACCTTCTTGTATACACAAGGTTTCTCCGGATTCTTCTCAAAATCAAACTCTTTGATAGTTGAGTCGAACCTAATGTTCCAACTACGGGATGCTTGTTTCAATCCATAAATGGATCGCTGGAGCTTGCAAACCTTTTGCTCACTTCCAGGAGATATGAAGCCTTCCGGTTGCGCCATGTAAATTTCTTCCTCAATGTCTCCATTAAGGAAGGCGGTCTTCACATCCATTTTCCATATCTCGTAGTCGTACCACGCAGCTATGGCCAGCAAAATCCTAATGGACTTTAGCATCGCGACTAGCGAAAAGGTTTCCTCATAGTCAACACCTTGCCTTTGAGTATATCCTTTCGTTACCAATCTAGCTTCATAGGTCGATACCTTTCCATCCACTCCAATTTTCTTCTTATAGATCCACTTGCAGCCTATGGGAATAATTCCTTTAGGTGGATCTACCAAGGTCCATACCTTGTTGGAGTACATGGAGTCCATCTCGGATTTCATGGCAGTTAGCCAATGTCCCATGTCCGCATCCGATACGGCCTCATTGTATGTTCTTGGATCTTGTCCAAGATCAACATCTTCATCATTCTCGAGGAGGAATAACCTATCCGGCATTTTCCGAACTCTTTCGAATCTACGTACCGTAGGTTCAGGAGGTATATTAGTGGATTGTTGTATTGGTTCGATTACTTGTTCTTGCGCTTGAACTTCACTTTGTGGTTCTTGAACTACTTCAAGTTCTATCATGCTACCTTTTCTATCGGATATAAACTCCCTTTCCAAAAAGGTGGCATTTCTTGAAACAATCTTTGCTTCCTCGACATAATAGAATTCGTATCTCATTGAGTCTTCGGGATACCCCACAAAATAGCACAAGTCGGATTTACTATCCAACTTATCTCCCACTAATCACTTCACATAAGCGGGACAACCCCATATCCTAATATGTTTGTAGTTGGGTTTTCGGGAATGCCAAATTTCATAAGGTGTGGATTTAACTGCTTTGGTGTTAACTCTATTCAGCAAATACGCCGCAGTGCGAAGTGCATGACCCCACAAGTATGCCGGTAAGTTCGTGAACCCCATCATTGATCGAACCATATCTACTAATAAAGTTCTATTCCGACGTTCGGAAACTCCATTAAGTTGAGGAGTTCCAGGTGGATTCCATTGAGATTGTATTACATTCTCTTTTAGATA